GATGGTCTTGATCCCTGTCTCCTGTACAACGTCACAAACCTCCGTCCATAGTTCATCAGGCGCTCTGTCTATCAGATCTAGTCCCTTAAATCTATTTCGCATTTCCACTGTATAGTCATAAGGGATTTGATTTAGGTCATACCTGAATGGTCTAGTGGTTTTCCCTACCTTCTTCAGTTTAAGTCTGAATTTGGCAATAAGGAGTTCGTGATCTGAGCCACAGTCAGCTCCCGGTCTTGTTTTTGCTGACTATATAGAGCTTCTCCATCTTTGGCTGCAAAGAATATAATCAATCTTATTTCGGTGTTGACCATCTAGTGATGTCCATGTGTAGAGTCTTCTCTTGTGTTGTTGGAAGAGGGTGTTTGCTTAGAAGTCAGTCAATAAATGACAGTTAAATTAATTTTAGAAGTCATCAGGATAATCACCTCTTAGGAACATAAAATCTTAGAACTGAGTGGGATCTTTAATGAACTAGTAATTGGAGTTCAGAAAAGTTGACATATTGTTTTTTTTCATCAAATCTAGACTGACCTTTTGTTCTTTACTACATGCAAGATGGTGAATTTAAAACAGTAATATTGAAATAGAACTTGTTAGTCATCTGGAAATGTAAGACCTTTTTAATTTTTTAAAGATAATATAGAAAAGTACATTTAGAAGCTTTATACTGAGCCCAGGTAAATTTTGATTACATCAATGAGATGTAATCTTAACAGACTGATACTTAACAGATTTTTGTGTTCAAGAATCAAATTATTTATAGGTACTTAGATTTTCAATCTTAGTTTGCATAATTACAGGTAGTAAGAATAATTTATTAGGTACTGACAGTGTCCTGAGAATTGCACCGGGTCCTTTGCATACATTATTTTGTTTAATCTTTTTAATAGCCTTGTGAGGGAGATGCAGTATAATTGTCAATTTGCAGAAGAGAAAAACTAAATCTCAGAGTAGTTAACTAAGTATAAAGCTGAAATTCAAACCCAGACCATTTGACTACAGAACACTGTCTTCAACCGTTTTATACAGTTTTACTGACAAAACTTTCTCAATTTTTATTTTAAAAATTAATGAAGAAGTAATACATTTTCTTGTTTACCTTAACTACAGCATTGTCCAGAGTTAAGTAACTTAACCAAAAATTTCAAGGTAATTTTAAAATTCATACTGGCTTTAGTTTACAGGCACTCTGCTTTTTAAAGATAAGACTTTTTTTTTTCTTTAGAAAGGTTTGTTTTGGTTTTTTTGGCTGCACCACGTGGCATACAGGATCTTAGTTCCCCAACCAGGGATCGAACCCCAGGCCTGGCGGTGAAAGCACTCAGTCCCAACCACTGAACTGCCAGGGAATTTTCTTCCTTTTTTTTTTTAAACCCCCTTGCTTGTGGCAACCACTAGCCTGTTCTCCGTATCCGTGAGCCTGCGTTTGTTAAAGATTCCGCATGTGAGAGAGGCCATACAGCATTTGTCTTGCTCTAGCTATATTTTTATGTCTTCTTTAGTGAAGTGTCCATTCAAATATTCTCCCTACTGTTGGTTGGATTGTTGTCTTATAATTGAGCCAAGGCATTTCTTTACAGAGTTTGAATACAGAAAAAGTTTTTTCCAGGTATATGTTCTGCAAATATATTCTCCTAATTTGTAATGAGCACATTTCATCACTTTAAAAAAGTCCAATTTGTAGACTTTTATGTTTTATATTTCATGCTTTTTTTGTCCTGTTTAAGATATCTCTGCTAAACCCAAAGTCAAAAAGATTTTCTCTACTGCTTTTTTCTAGAAGTTTTATAGTTTTATAGTCTATGATACATTTCAGGTTAATCTTTGATATAAGGTAAGGGTCAAAGTTTATTGTTTTACATTCAGTGATTTAGCAATATCCCCAGGGAGTTGGGGATGTTGGAGGTATATGTGGGGGCAAAATCGCCACCTGTTGAAAAGTATTGTACTAGACCTAATCTTTTTGGAATACATATTTCTTCCTTTTCAAAGCTTGTCATTCCAATGTTAAGTGGTATAATTGCATGTTATGGTAAGAGTTGTATGTGTATAATCTCCATCTGGACCAAAATATCTTTTAAAATTATCTAATGCTATCATATGGCACATCTCATAAAATTAAACATTTTCATTTAGAGTAAATCTTTGTAAAATGAAAATTTTAGAAGTGCCTGAAAGCATGTAACAACAGTATCTGTCACATACCAACAATCTTAATAAACCAGTACATGAGTGTAATTAAGGGATAGGGTGAGTAAACTACATAACACTAATCTTTGCTCTGCCTTGAATTTACTCTGGTACCTTTGCAAATCATTTAACAAATTTATTTTCTTAATCTTATAGGGTATAAATGACTTAACCTAAGTTGTATGGGATAATACAGAGATGAGGAATTTATTTAAGACAAACATTTTATACAAATATTATGTATTTTATTTGATCAGACATTTAAACTCTTTCAGCTATTAAACAACAGAATAAAATGGAATTGAATATGATATCAGCATGGAACAATCTGTTGATTCATTAAAAGTCAACCATAATGATTCTGAAGAGTCAAAAACAGATTCTCAGGTATTTTGAAGTAGGGATTCAACTGGGAACTTTTTTTCCATTCAAAGGGAAAACAATATGCCATTTGATAATTTTTTATGCTTAAGAATAGTGTTATATTTAATATATTCAAGAATTTTAACATTTAATTTTCCATAATCCTGTCATTTATTTAATTTTATAATGTAGAGCTTAATAAAATGATATATTCATGAAGATTTATATATAAAAAAAATCTGCATGTTGAATTGTGTTTCATCATTTCACGTTGTATTCCTATGAACAATTTGCAGTAAAATAATAATAAAATTCAAGTTTCACTTAAGTACTTCTGTCTATATCAGTCTGAATTGATAACACTTACAAAATGTAAAGTGAATAATGAACTGAAAAGTGAATGTTTCCACTTTTTTAATCATAAACATTCTATGTTTTAAAAAATTATGACATATTTTACGAACACTCAAGTGACTTTTTTGTTCTTTGCAAAAGCCTCTAACCTATATGGACCCCAGTGAGCCTTCTTTTGGACAAGATGGTTCGCCTGGAGTTTTACCCGTTACTACTCCTGAAGAGGACAGTTCACTCTCATCTCAGAATATACCAGGGCCCCTGACTCAGACACAGACCCTCTCTGCAGAGCAATTCCATTTAGTGGACCAAAATGGGCAACCTATTCAATATGAGCTTCAGTCATTGGGGGATTCTAACACACAAATGGTGAGTAGGTTTTAAAAATAACCAATTTTCTGCTTTTTGGCAAAATGTATTAGTCTTACTTGATGACCTTAATTTCTTGACACTATTGATTTACATTTCTTTGAAAACTGTTTATATGATATTGATTTTTAAGTTATGTAAGGGTTTTAAAAGATTTCCTTGGAATTCCCTGCTGGCCCAGTGGTTAACACTCCTTGCTTTCATTGCCGCAGGCTCAGGTTTGATTCCTGGTTGGGGACTAATGCATACTGTGTTGTGCAATCAGAAATGAAATGAAATAGATTATTTCCTTTCAGAACTACAAGTAGTACTTCAAACCAGTGTAGCCCAGCTTCCACCTTGTCTAGGCAAACTTGTGCTTTGAGAGCAGTTGGAAATGTAATGTAATTGGTCGCTAGTGCTAAACTGCCAGAGCTTACATATAGCTTAGATTTATTTTTTGTTTATACATTTAACCGATCTCAAGGTTATTTGCTCTATCAGTATCTTATTTACTGATCTACATGCTACATTCTGGTGTGCTTTCTTGAAGAAAAAGAAAGCAATGAAAGTACCAATGAAATGATGGAATTTAGACATACCCTTACTGATTTTGTAGGTCAATATGTAGATGTCATGTGAATAACAATGTATAAAGTTGAAAATGGTGGTTTAAACTGTTAGCCAGAAGTATTTATGACCAAGTTCATAAGTTGAGTAGTAGAGGTGAAAGATGGTTTTGATTGAAATAAAATTGAGAAAAACTTCTAAATGGCTCTCTGATTAATAATATACTAGCAATAACGTGAAGAATAATATATCTGTTTTGGTTGTTTTTGCCAATTTTCCTACAATGAATTTTAATTCAGTAATAAAAATTACTTTTAAAAATCTTAACTTCAAATATCAGTTATGCTTAAGTAGGCAACCATTTATAATAACCCCAAATTAATCTTTGTTTTTGTTTCTAGTCTAGAGCATTCTAGAGTTAATCTATGTCCTTTGGCTCCCTTTTAATTGAGCTAAATTTTGGGGTTGAGAGTTATTGATTGAGAGGGTGCTAGTTTTTTTTTTAGAGGGGTCTAATTATAGACAACTTTTTTGTGTTATGTTCAAGCTCAGCATTTTTGGGGCTTACTTCAGTAATGAAATGCAAAGTAAGGGTAAGCGTCTGTAACCATACTGTATCACCAGCAGAGATTAATAAACAACAAATAATTTAGATGTGAACTGATCCATTTTAATATTTCATGTTCAGAATGAAATACTTCTGTAATTTCCCCTGATATTTGACATTTATTCTAGTTTCTGTCAGAACATTTAGAAAGTTTGTATATTGTAATGGAAGGATGCAAGAGTCTGAATGTATAAAGGGTGCTCATTTTACACATGGTAACTTTCCTAAAAAGCATGTTAAAATTATTTATTTATCTGGGTCTGAAAAAAGTAGAGGTTTCATTCTCTCTGTAATTATATTAAATTTTGTATCTGCAGTAATTATAAAGGTTATTTTTACATTGTTTGGGGTAGGAGGTGATATAGAGAGTTATTTGAAATTGTGAAATAAGGAAATATGTCATGAACTTGGAAATAAATAGAAGCAACAAATGGAATGTAACTAGTTACTTTCTCCAAAGAACCAAAGATCAGAAGCTGGTGATATTCTGGGAAGCTTAGTGGAGATTTTTTATTTTTACTGTTTATTTTAATAGGCTTTTAATTTTAAGATCAGTTTTAGGGTCACAGTAAAATTGAGCAGAAAATACAGATTCCCCTCCCATATGCCCCCTGCCTTCATATTTGCATAGATAGTGTTCCCCATTATCAGTATCTCCCAACAAGTGGAGTTTTTTGTAAGAAATGACTTTTTTTTTTAAGCAATCAGTGAACTAGCAAAGTTTCTGTAGTGGGTGAATCTCCTGTGGATGAGAGGAGGTTTTAGAGTGAATCAGGGATAATGTTTTTTATTTACTAGAAATATTGTGCACAAAGAGCCCAGTAAATATAAAACTACTCATTTTCTGATAATTTTCATGGTTGGCCTCAAATAGAATATATTGCAGCAGATGACTCTTCAAAACTATGTTTGTTTTCATAGCAAAGATTAAAGATAATTACTTTTTTGGTAGTAGAAGCAGTAATGTTATCATCACCATTGACAAATTATATGAATTGAAAATAGTTTTTAAGGTACCAGGTGGAATAAGCTAAGAAAATAGAGGAGATTCTTTTTCACTGTTGAGAAACATTTTCAAAATTAAGAGTTATTCCATAAATTATTCTTAATTATGAAATTTCCACATGGTTGAATAAATTATAACTATTTTATATATATATTTATTTGGATTTAAAAATAACCACAGCACTCTTATCTTGTAAGAATGAATGAATGATTTTTCATATATATCTAATCTCATTTATATGGAGTAAAGAATTTAAAAGGATACTATTATTATCGCCTTTTAAAGTCCAGCAGGGTTTTTGTATTGTTTTATTTTTGTCTTTTTTTTAGGTTAAGTAACATCATCAGGTATTTGGGAGGCAATACAGTACACTTGGGATTACGGGTAGAAGACTAAGGCAGTACAAAGTAGTGGCTAAAAGGAGTAGGACTGCTTGGGTTTGAATTTCAGCTCAGAATTGTATACACAGCTCTCTGTTACCTTGCATGAGTTTTGTAGCCTCTGTGTGACAATTTCCTCATGTATAAAATGTACATGGTTCATGAAGATTAAGGTACTATGTGGAAAGTCCTGCCACTAGTATGAACTCAGCGAATGAAAAGCAGTTGTCATCATCAGGGTTTACAATTGTTTTTTCATGCTGAGGTGATAAGAGGTATGGCAAGATATGTTTAGCTCAACAAACATGATAAACATTGGGGGAAGGAAACAATTCCTAATCTGAATTTCTGGGAAATGTTTATGATTGTACTTAAGGCATTCTGTTTTGTTGAGGTTTAGGTTTGTTGTTGTTTTTTTCCCCCCCAAATTTAAAGTTTTTCAAATGACCCTCTTGCGTAAGAATACTGTCTCTATCAGGCCATTAGTAATGTTTCCATGCTTTACAAACCAAAAGGGAGACTTGAGAAAGTAGCTTGGAATGCTTAAGGAGAGTTTCCTGCATTAGGGAAAACTGAGGACAGGGGATATTGGGTAAAGGAGTGAAGCTGTTAGTAGACAGTAGTTTTTTAGGTAATAAAGTTTATAAGGTGTCTAGAAAGTCTGGAAATAAAGGATAAACTTACTTTTAAATAATATTTTAGTTGTATTTTAAATCATAGGCTCAGAATGTTTTTATTCAGCTTACATGCTTTCTCAGTTTACATTCCTCTCAATCTGAGGCAATGAATTCATTTGCTAAACTGAGAAAAAAACAAAAGAAATAATAAATATACTATTTCCGTATGTTTTCAGACTTTGGGGGCACTCTGTGGTATTCCTTATGGATCAAGACAGCATATAAAAAATGTGGAGATATAAAAATCCTGTTTAATTAGACATTTTACAAGTTACTGTTTTTAAATGAAAATGACTTAAACTATGAGACTAGTAATTATCACACAAATAGGTCAAACGTGTGGATAATACAGTAAGTAGAAAAAAGTAAAGTATCTTTACTCCAGTCAGAGACTTGTTCAGGTTACTAAGTAATTATACTTCATACCCATGCAGTGATTAAGATCATAGAACATAGGGTCAAACTACCCGTTTTGAACCCTAGCTTTACCACTTATCGACTGAGAGACTTTGGGGAGAAATAAAATGTTATGTACCTCGTGTTTTCATCTATAAAGTGAGGGAAATGATAGTATCCATTGTTGAGGTAGGCATGTCTAACAGTTTTCTAAGTAGTGATTCTGTTGAATCATTATAGACTTATGCACTTGATTTTTTTAAAATGCTTCCAAGATGATTGTTGCCAGCCCATCAGAAAATGGACAGGTGCTGCGTGTAATTCCATCTCCCCAGGCAGGAATGACACAAGTGATTATACCTCAGGGACCACTTGTGGATGAGAATAGTCCTCAAGGTGAGTAATTATGGGATATAGGGAATTTAAGAATGTTTTAAAGAACAAATGTATGTTTCAGAAAATCACCCCATGAAAGTCAGTGCTAAAGTGGATTTCTTTGGGTAAGATTGTGAACTGAATGCTTAGAAAAAGTTTCTTAGCCCAAATAAATTTCAAGTTCATTTTTCAACTCCTGTCTAGGTTAGCTGTCTATTTCAGTTTGGAATTCTGTGAAGCTGCTTGACTCTTGCTTCCTCCCAAATGACCAGTGAGCATAAAATAAATTCTTCTTAACTTTAATAACAGCGATAATAACAAGAACATAGTGCTAATAGCTACTGGAGACCTTTTTATATTTGTATTTTTATCAATATTGTTGTTAGGCATGTGACATTCATTTGTAAAATATTCTTCTTACCTCCTCTTTGCTCTTCTTTACTTTATTCCTTCAGATTCAGAAAGACTCATGCTCCTTATTTATTTTATTCTTTGTTTACCTATTTGATAATATCCCTATTAGTTCTCTTCCTTTTGCTTCCTTTCCTTTTCCATCTATTTGAATCTCTTTTCTAACATCATAGCTACACTGTTGTGGTTTTTTCATAGATAACGATTTAGGGTAGATATTCTTAATTTAGTGTTAATGATTCTGTGTCTTTGATAACAGTTGTTAAAACTTAAGAGGAAAAAACATAGTTTGCAGAAAACATAAACATGATATAGAAACAAAAAGGAGTTAGTTTTACAGGTTCCTTTTACACTGTGGTTCTTTTAATATAAGTTACTTTTGCCATTTTTATACCCTAGCTGTTCAATATAAGTTCTGAAACTTAATTATAAAACTTCAATAATCAGTTTTACAGTTTAAAAGCAAGTTTATCAGAGAAATTCTCAGTAAAGTATTATAAGTTTTATTATCTTTAGCTTCAGAGCATATCTTCCCTTTCCTGTTTCAAATATATTAGTTTCAGTTAGTTACATTCTCATTGTCTTTTAAGGTATTAATGTTGCTCTGCTCTTATTCTTGTTAAGATGTCTCTGAAGAGAAACCCAGTGACAGAGACTTACCAGCTGTGAGAGTGGATGCTCTAGCAAACAGTAACAGTAGTTACATTCTTCATCCACAGGCATCCCTCACATTGCCCAAAAAGACAGTGACCAGGTAAGTCAGTAAGAAAGAGGAGCTCATCTTTGTGTATCACCATGGAAATCACTGTTTACGATATCACATTTAAGGCTGGCCTCCTATAGAAAAGATCAGAAATGCAAGAAATAGAACAAGGCATCATCAAGGACACCCTTAAATCATTTTGATCCCATCTTGGCAACAAGGAAACTACTTTAGAAGCCATAAAAGATCAAAGTGCTACTTTACCTTAGTGATACTTTCTTGTTATCTTTGAAGAAATCTGAAAACATCTGGCATTAATAAAGTTTTTAAAATAAAGAAATAACTATTCTAGGTCCTGTAATTTTTAATGGTTCATCACATTTTATCACCTCTGTGGTAAAGTGTTTAAAATGTTTTTTGTTCATATCTTTTAGCTTTTATTTTTGCCATAAAATAATACTCTTTATAATAATTTAGGGAAATACAGACATGGGTTTTGTATTTATATTTTAATTGTTCTATGAAAATATTTTAAAGTTAACACAAGTTAAGTGACATTTAATCTTAGACATCATATTGTGTTACTATTAATAAGTCACCTGAAGATGGTTTATTAACTCATTTTTTTAAATGAAAAATGTATAAGAATACAAAATAAGCTCTGAGAAAGACATATAATGTAGCTGAATTTGTTGAAACTACAGGTATTTGGAAAAACAAACTTAGACTTTACTTTAGCAATTGATAAAATAGTAATGATTGGAAAAAAGCATAGTTACAGCCATCAGAATAATCTGTCATCATTATAGTTTCTCCTTGATCACTTCAGTATTGTCTTTGACTGGCAAGAAGAAAAAGCAACTGAATGCTCTGTGTGTGTGTGTACCTGGTAATATATATTAATATATATTCTCACCTATCCCAGGATACTTGAAGAACCTCTTTTGGCTCCACTCCAGCCACTTTCTTCTAACACACCTATATGGGCCTGCCGTCTTAGGAGCTGTGAGGTGAGTTAAAAAGTAATCCTTATGTAGATTGACTTAGTTGATTATAACTATAATTCATTGTCTACTTTTGAGTGTAACTAATAGAGGCTGTGTCTGTAATATTTTATGTTTGTGTTCCTCGTCTATTACTTTATTCCTTTGGGATTATAAGATCTGTTAAAGCAGAAATCATATAAATCCCTCATTCTTCACTTTCCTTTCTTCTCTTACAATCTTTTCCTTGTCTTCCATGAAACTTCATGTTTCTTTATATTTAATCTTTTAATCATTCCTTCTCTGTCTTTGCTTGCACTGATTTGTTTTCATATCCTCAGTGGAAATTCTTCAAGTTTCACTGTTTGACCTTATATTGTTTCTCTACTTCTTTTCCCTCGAAGAGCTTCCCAACTTTGTTGACTTTCAATTCTCACTTTTATAAAAATGATCCCAATTCTCTGTCACCAGTTCTTTAATTCTTGCCTTGCTTTTGTGGCAGATCTCCAGCTACTTACTTGAAGCTTTACTTGGACTTTACCTCAAATTCACCATATCCTAAACAGAAATTATCTAACGTACCACAACTAGCTCTTCTTCCTTAATTTCTTGTCTGTATAATGACAAATACTATTTTCTTAGATATAAAGTTTTTGATTATTTTTCCCATATTTAGATAATCACCTAATATTTTTAGTTTTTCCTTTAAAGTGGTTTAAAAAGAGCCTCTTCCACAGCCTTTTATAATCTTGAACTCAGTTATAGTAACAGCCTTCCCATTAATCTCTTTGACTCTTCCATTTCTAGCCCTTACTGCGTGGTTTTCTAAAACTACCAGTTTGTTGTTGTTTTTTTTTAATGTGGGCCATTTTTAAAGCCTTCATTGAATTTGTTACAATGTGGCTTCTGTTTTGTATGTTTTGGCTTTTTGGCCATGAGTCATGTGGGGTCTTAGTTCCCTGACCAGGAAATTGAATCCACACCCTCTGCATTAGAAGGCAAAATCTTAACCACTGTACCCTAGAGAAGTCCCTAAAACTACTTATCTTTACCTATTACTTTCATTGTCTTTTCTCACTGCCTAGTAACTAGCTCAATGTTATTTTTTCCACATCATTTAGCCACTTGTTACTAGCTTTCAAGATCATTCATAATCTGATATCACTTAATCTTGTCCTATTTTATTTCTTCCTTTTCTGCAATTTATCTTTCATTTGTATTAGCCCAGTCTTCTTACTTTATACTAGCACTTTAGAATCTTCCTTTATGCCCCCTTCAATTGTTTTTTTTTCCCTTCAATTGTTTTTATGTCCATTTCCTAATGTTGTTTTTTTCTTCTACTTACCTTTCTAACTACTGTTCTTCAAATCCCCGTGCAAGTCCTATATGTCTTTTCTGAAATATTCTAATAATTATTTTTTGCCAATTTCTCTCTTAAAAGTCTTTGAAAATTATTACCATAACCATTCTTAATTATTTGCTAGCTTGGGTTATTCATTATTACATAACATTTAGACTATATGCTTTCTAAGGGAAGGGATCATGGTTTTCTACATATAAACCATACATGATAATTAGTATTTAATTATTGAGATGCTTCATTGTTTTAAACATTCTTAAAATATGAGAAGGAAAAGCATTACTTCGGTTTTAACATTTTGAGGAAATTTCTTATCATGAAGTCAATGATGTATTATGTCTGTTAGGGCATTATCACTGTTTTTGCTTTTCTAAGTTACATGCTTACATGTATGTATAGATAGTAAGATTTTTTTCCCCTCACCTCTTTGTTAGTCATGGTTTTTCAGTGATTTCTCCCTAAAGTTACTATTCTTGTTGTTTGATGAAGGGTTTTGTAGTTGTTGTTATTGTTTTAAAAAAAAACAGTTTGTCAACCATGAAGTTTATATATGTTTGGCTGTGCTGGGTCTTCACTGATTTTCGTGCAGGTTTTTCCTAGTTGCAGCAAGTGGGGGCTGCTCCTCATTGCTGTGTGTGGGCTTCTCCTTGCACTGGCTCCATTTGTGGAGCACAGGCTCTCGGCGCCCGGGGCTTCAGTGGTTGTGGCTCTTGGGATCTAGAGCGAGTGCTCAGTAGTTGGGGTGCACAGGCTCAATTGTTCCTTGGCATGGGAAATCTTCTTAGACTAGGAATCGAACCCATGTCCCCTGCATTGGGAGGCGGATTCTCATCCACTGTGCCACCAAAGAAGTCCTGATGCAGGTTTTTAAAATCATTTTCATAAACTTTATTAAATGCTGTGGGCATTAAAGCATTGGCAGTTAAGTGGCCAAATTACTTGATTTTATACCATGGTACATTGTGTAGCTTATCTAGCATCATATATCTTGCAAGAAATTAGTTGAAACTTTTCAACAGCTTGAATTAGCTCAGTGAAGGATTCTTTTTTTTTCTCCAAGCNTGTGGGCATTAAAGCATTGGCAGTTAAGTGGCCAAATTACTTGATTTTATACCATGGTACATTGTGTAGCTTATCTAGCATCATATATCTTGCAAGAAATTAGTTGAAACTGTTCAACAGCCTGAATTAGCTCAGTGAAGGATTCTTTTTTTTTCTCCAAGCTATATCAATAGTGAAAAACATTTTTCGTTAATGACTGAAGAAATATTTTATGCATTTTGCTTCAAAATATTGTTCCTTAGTCCTTTTTACTTTCTAAACTTCTTTTTAATGATGTTTTTCTTATAGGCATTTTTTAGATTTGACCAAAATTTATTAGTTGGAAAAATTTCAATACCGAATTAAACTTTTATCTCCTAATATGGGTTTGACTACACTGTAGTTCTGAATTTTTTCCTTTCACTGACAACATTCTATACTCTATTTTATTTGTAAAAAAATGTTAATAGCTAGACTTTATGTCCCTACTTTTTTATTTGTAGGGGATATTTTGATGAAGAACTATCTAGGCTAGAAGAAAATTCATAAGCACAGGCATTTTCATTATTTTTAAGGGAAATTATAGATCATGTATTGTTTGGCATTAGATTGTCTGTTTTTATTACAACTCAGAGTATTCCTACAACAGTATGTTCATACCTTACTTTTGTTAACTATATTCTTGCCAGGTGAAATATTTAGTCTAATTAGGATCAACAAGATCCCTGTTCCACATTTCTGCTCTTATTCCCTATAAGGGAGAAACATGAAAGTGAAAGTGTAGTCGCTCAGTCCTATCCGACTCTTTGCGACCCCATGGACTGTAGCTTGCCAGGCTCCTTCATCTGTGGGATTTTCCAGGCAAGAGTACTGGAGTGGGTTGCCATTACATGGAGTCAATTCTAGGTCTAAATGCATTTCAGTTTAAGAGGTCACAGTTTAAAAAAAATTCTCTATTGGTATAAAGATAGAAAGAAAGTGAAGTTGCTCAGTCATGTCCAACTTTGCAGCCCCATGAACTACCAGGCTCCTCGTCAATGGGATTTTCCAGGCAAGAATACTAGAGTGGGTTGCCATTTCCTTCTCCAGGAGATCTTTCCAACCCAGGGATTGAACCCTGGTCTCCTGCATTGTAGGCAGGCGCTTTACCGTTTGAGCCACCAGGAAAGTCCAATTGGTATAGAGAAGTCTATTGGTATAGAGAAAGCTTTTTTCCTAGTTGAGAGATACAGGATAGATACTATCAATTTATTTACATGATATATTTATACGTTGCCTTGTTTCAGGGAGATTTTAAGACAGCTTATAAAAATACCTAAAAATAAATTGGCAAGGTAGAAGTTAAAATGGGAGCTGAAGAATAAAGAAAAACAAGACTGGAAGTATGAAGTGAAAGTAAGAATTTTTATCTTAATGAATTATGTGTGTGTGTTTACATGCACACACATCTATAATCTAAGTATCTACATTTCAAAAGGGGAAACCTAGTTAGTTCCTAACTTCTGTATGTGCTGCTGCTGCTAAGTCACGTCAGTCCTGTCCGACTCTGTGCAACCCCACAGACGGCAGCCCACCAGGCTCCCCGTCCCTGGGATTCTCCAGGCAAGAACACTGGAGTGGGTGGCCATTTCCTTCTCCATCTGTATGTGTTAGGTAAAAGTAATTATGTTAATTTCCATAAGATAAAAGAAAACCTTAACTATTTTTGATACTATGCCAGAATTTCTCTCAGAGAAAGATCTTCATTAAAAGAATATTGATATAATAAGCAAATTCTTTGACATCCTTTTTTGTAAGAGATAGCCATCACAATTTTCATAGATTTTCAAATAGATTCATTCATCATATCAAAATCTTATTTCAGGAACTTCCCTGGTAGTCCAGTGGTTAAGACTCCATGCTTCCACTGCAGAGAGCACAGGTTGGATTCCTGGTCAGGAAACTAAGATCCTACATGCCTTGCAGCCAATAAATAAATGAACAAACAAATACATTAAAAAAAAAATCTGTTTCAGTAGAAGTAGCCCCACAGGGAACCAGTACTTTGTGGCTAATTTTATGTTGATCTGGTTGGATCCAGGGGTAGAATTTTATTTGGAAGAGTGAATACACAATAGGTTCTTCAAGCTATCTTTGCTGGTATTAATTCTCTCAAACAAGATTTTAATAAAGATACTTTGGCAGTGAGTTTGGCATTATACTCTAACAAACTACTACAAAAAATCTATTTGATGATGATGTTTGAATTCAGCTCAGACCTACTGGTTGTAATAGACACCGTTGATCTGAGGGCAGAAATGACGTTCTCTTTTGAGAGATTGAGTCTTTCATCTTAGGCAACCACCTTATTAAATTTCTTGTACAGTGAAGCATATTTGTTGATAATTTTGTTACTGAATTTCTACATGCAGAAAATTGGAGATTCATACCGTGGCTACTGTGTAAGTGAAACTGAATTGGAAAGCATCCTAACATTTCACAAGCAGCAAACACAGAGTGTTTGGGGGACACGCCAGTCTCCGAGCCCAGCCAAGCCAGCTACGCGCTTGATGTGGAAATCCCAGTATGTCCCATATGATGGAATCCCATTCGTCAATGCAGGTACTTTTGTAAAGATTTATTTTTAAAAGTTGAGCAGCAGCCATGATCCATTGTGAAAATGTGATTTTCCTAAGGTGATACATTTCCATTTTGGTAGATGACAACTAACTGTTAATTGGTGAAAATGTGTATTAAACTGAAAAGAAAAAAAAAACTGAAAAGAAAACTTACAGTAAATACAACCAATTATTTTTTGTTGTAAAATTATATTTTAGTATGTTAGGGTAAATAAATAATACTTTATACTGAAAAATGAGAGGTAAAAAATAATTAAATTCAAGGTAGACCTATTTAATAAAAATTAAGCCATAGAGCAGTTTTATTATTTTAAATATGTATAGCTAGTTGGATTTTTTTCCCCCCATCCAATCCAGATATTCTTTCCTTCTGTCTTGATTTGTCTTGTGGGGGTAAAAATCACTGTTTGTTTTATATGGCTTATAACTCTGGGGATACTGTATGGGATTGGTATACAGTTTGGAATTATGATATAGAATTCTGATATTCTAACATCAGGTTTGTTACAGCAATCTCAAACACTGTGCTAGTGCTTATTAAAGCAGTAGAGTTCCAAGACAGTCCCAAAGTGTCATCCTAGGACTAGTCAGACCACAAAGAACCTAAGAATAAGTGATTTGTTTCAGAACTATGTGGAGTGAGCAATTCTACAGGAAGAGTTATAGACTCATCCTGGACCTCTGAGGGTAAAGAGAGCTCCTTAGAGAAAGATGAGATAAATGTAACCCCTTCTGCACAGGTTTTATTCTCCTGCCTGGTTCTGATCCCTTTTTTTTTTTTGTTTTAATTAATTTAGTTTTTAATTGAAGGATAATTGCTTTATAGAATTTTGTTGTATTCTATGAAACATCAACATGAATCAGCCATAGGTGTACATATATTCCCTCCCTCTTGTCTAATCCCTTCTTAACTCTCCTCAGGCAGCTATTCTATGAATATGGTGTGTATTTTTGTACTTCATCATACATGTTTATATTTATAATATTTTTTATTATTTTGAGTATTTTAAAGTATATGTAAGTAGTAAAATATAGACATTATTAAGTAAACTTTTCACTCATTTTGGAAATCTGTCTATATTGATACAGATTCTGGTTAATTCTATTTCGTTATTATATAATTTAACATTATATAGTATGGACTATTACATATAATAAACTGTTGCTCAAATTTGGTCTTTCCAGCATGTGACCAAACTGCAGTTACTTTTCTACTAAGGATCATTTATGTTGTTTCCAACTTTTCAATATTACAAAGAATTCTATAGTCTAACCTCCAAAATATATATTTTCTGTTCAAAAGTGTAAGTAGTTTTCTAGACTGTTAGTTTGAAACAGTTTCTGTGGGTTAGAAATCCAAACTAGTTTTTTAGTGTTGTGTGCATTGAAGTAGAATTGCTGAGTTGTGAAGTATGCTCACTTTGTCTTTACAAGATTATCTCAAGTTGCTCTCTAAGAAATAGTTCAGGTCCCCATCCCTTCTCTAAACTTTTTTTTCCAGATGTATTTCAGAATTCTGAATTTTTGGGGCTGTAAACATGATAATATTACAGAATGCTCCCAGCAAGTATTCTGTAGGCAATATTACATGCTCAAACCCAGTAAGACTTTATAGTTATAGTAAAAGGAATAAAGACTATAAATACCTCTGTGACGTTCAGACCAGGTTTTACAGCCAATTGTATTCCAAACAATTTTGCTTTCTGTGCTTTTTAGATTTCAAAATCATACATGAAGGATTGACAACCTGTATTAATTTTTAGTTCTTTCAGCAATGTATGAAAATTTCCCTTTCCCACATTTGTTCTATGACTTAGCATTGTCAGATTTAAAAACATCTTTATATTATGGGGATTTTCATATGGACATCAAAGTAGAGGTGATGATATATGAAATCTCATGACTCCACGTGTCCATCATCCAGCTTTGACAGGTATCAGCATGTGATCAGTCTTGTGTCACCCTATCTACTTCTTCATTCTTGAGGTGATTTCACAGGAAATTTCAGTTATTATTTCATCTATAATTACTGAGGTATATAATATATACTAAAGTATATATCTGAAATATAAGGGCTCTTAATATGTATAAATGAGACAGCAATTCTGTCATTGCACTTTAAAAGAATTAACAGCAATTTCTTAATGTCATCAATTGTCCAATGTTCGCATGTTTCCACTTAGCTCATAATTCTTTTTTCAGAGGTTTGTTCAAATTCACACGCAAACCAAGTTCACAGATTAAATTTGGTTAAGTTTCTTCTCATCTAAAAATTTCTTTCTTTTTCACTGGGTAGTTTCTTCTGTAGAGTTTGCCATATTCAAGATTTTGCTGTTTCCATCTATGGTGTTTTTTTTTTTAACATGTTCTTTTATCTCCTGTGTTTCCTATAAATTGTTCAGTGCAGTTCAGTTCAGTCACTCAGTCGTGTCCGACTCTTTGTGACCCCATGAATCGCAGCACACCAGGCCTCCCTGTCCATCTCAAACTCTTAGATCTAGGAGTTCGATTAAATGAAGATTTAATCTTCATTAAAATATTTTGGAAGAATACTTCATAGTTGTGCTATATACTTGTTATCACTACCTATTTAACTTTACGACTGATGAGTAGATTCAGTTGTTTTAGAGTATTGTCATATTTTTATTTTTGTCAATTTGAGGAGTGTGAAAGAGTATTTTCCTGTTGTTTTAATTTGCATTTCCCTGCTTACTAGTGAATTTGAGCATCTTTTTATTTGTTTATCTAATATCGTTTTTTTTTCTTTCTGAATTGCCTGTTCATAGTCTTTGCCCATTTTTCTGTTTGGTAGTTAGTTTTCATTTTTAAAAAATTATTTATAGTTCTCTATATTCTGCACATTAATTCTTTGTTTTATATATTATAAAAGAGTTTCTCAAACTGACTTTCCTTTTACCATTACTTAGAAGAAGTTAGTATCTTTTTTATCAACACTTTTATTCATGATTGGTATGTGTGGCTTTATATTTGCAAGGTTTGCTGTACCCTGCATAGCTTAGGATATTCAACTTAGCATCTTAAATTGTATGGTTTTCACATCTACTTATCTGTATTATATATTGCAGTGTAACAAATCACCCCAAATGTGGTGGGGGAAAACAACAAACATTTACTGTCTCACAGTTTCTGTGGGTCAGAAATGCAAGAGCAGCTTAGCAAGGAGGTTCTGCTGCAAGTTCTCCAACAAGAACGCAGTTAAAGTGTTGGCTGGACACAGTCATCTTAGGGCTTTCCTGGGGGTGGATCTGCTTCCAGGCTGACTCCTGTGGCTGTTGGCAGGCTTCCTTCTTTTTGGGTGGGCCTCTTCACAGAGCTGCCTCACCATATGACATCTGATTTCACCCAGAGAGAGCAGTCGACCAAGATAGTATCTTAAAATGGAAGTCATATAACCTAGTCTTATAACCTAGTATCAAAAATAAATCCTGTCACTTTTGCATCTGAGCCACCAGGGAATCTACAAATGGACATTACCAGATGGTCAATACCGAAATAAGATTGATTATATTCTTTGCAGCCAAAGATGGAAAGCTTCATACAGTCAGCAAAAACAAGACCAGGAGCAGACTGTGGCCCAGATCATGAACTCCTTATTGCAAATTCAGACTTAAATTGAGGAAAGTAGGGAAAACCACTAGACCATTCAGGTATTACCTAAAACAAATCCCTTATGATTATACAGTGGAAACGACAAGTAGATTCAGGGGTTTAGATCTGATAGACAGAATGCCTGAAGAACTATGGATGGAGGTTCATGACATTATACTGGAGGCAATGGTCAAGACCATCCCCAGAAAAAAGAAACGCAAAAAGGCAAAATGGTTTCCTGAGGGAGCCATACAAATAACTGAGAAAAGAAAAGAAGCTAAAGACAAAGGAGAAAAGGAAAGATATACCCACTTGACTGCAGAGATCCAAAGAATAGCAAGGAGAGATAAGAAAGCTTTCCTCAGTGATCATTGAAAAGAAATAGAGGAAAATAATAGAATGGGAAAGACTAGAGATCTCTTCAAGAAAATTAGATATACCAAAGGAAAGTTTCATGCAAAGATGGGCTCAACAAAGGAGAGAAATGGTATGGACCTAACAGAAGCAGAAGATATTAAGAAGAGGTGTCAACAATGCACAGAAGAACTATACAAAAAAGATCTACATGACCCAAATAACCATGATGGTGTGATCACTCACCTAGAGCTAGACATCCTAGAAGGTTAAGTCAAGTGGTTCTTAGGAAGCATCATTATGAACAAAGTTAGTGGAGGTGATGGTATTCTAGAAGAGCTATTTCAAATCTTAGAAGATGATGCTTTGAAAGTGATGCACTCAATATGCCAGCAAATTTGGAAAACTCAACAGTGGCCACAGGACTGGACTGGACAGGTTTCATTCTAATCCCAAAGAAAGCCAATGCCAAAGAATGTTCGAGCTACTGCACAGCTGCACTCATCTCACACGCTAGCAAAGTACTGCTCAAAATTCTCCATGCCAAGTTTCAACAGTATGTGAACCGTGAACTTCCAGATGTTCAAACTGGTTTTAGAAAAGGCAGAGGAACCAGAGATCAAATTGCCAAGATCCATTGGATCATCAGAAAAACAAGGGAATACCAAAAACAACCTAATTCTGCTTTATTTTTTATTCTAAAGCCTTTGACTGTGTAGATGACCACAAACTGTGGAAAATTATTCAAGAGATGGGAACACCAGACCACCTCAGCTGCATCCTGAGAAATCTGTGTGCAGGTCAAGAAGCAACAGGTAGAACCAGACATGGAACAACAGACTCCTTTCCAAGTCAGGAAAGGAGTATGTCAAGGCTGTATATTGTCACCCTGCTTATTTAACTTATTTGCAAAGTACATGAGAAATGCCAGGCTAGATGAAGCACAAGCTAGAATCAAGATTGGTGGAAGAAATATCAATAACCTCAGATATGCAGATTACACCAACTTATGATAGAAAGTGAAGAGGAACTGAATACCTTCATGATGATAATGAAAGAGTGAAAAAGCTGGCTTAAAACTCAACACTGAAAAAATGAAGNAGGCGAGAGGAGAAGGGGATGACAGAGGATGAGATGGTTGGATGGCATCACCGACTCAATGAACATGAGTTTGAGTAAACTCCAGGAGTTGGTGATGAACCAGGAGGCCTGGCATGCTGCAGTCATGGGGTCGCAAAGAGTCAGACATGACTGAGTGACTAAACTGAACTGCACTGTACTGAGCACTGAAGTATTGATGCTTTTGAACTGTGGTGTTGGAGAGAACTCTTGAGAGTCCTTTGGAGTGCAGTTAGATAAAACCAGTGCTTCCTAAAGGAAATCAGTCCTGAGTATTGATTGGAAGAACTGATGCTGAAGCTGAAACTCCAGTACTTTGGCCACCTGATGCAAGGAACTAATTCATTGGAAAAGACCCTGATGCTTGGAAAGATTGAAGGCTGGAGGAGAAGGGGATGACAGGGGATAAGATGGTTGGATGGCATCACCGACTTGATGGACTTGAGTTTGAGCAAGCTCAGGGGTTGATGAAGGACAGGGAATCCTGGCATGCTGCAGTCCATGGTGTCACGAAGAGTTGGGCACGACTGATCAACTGAACTGACTGATGACTTCTGCCCTAGTCATTAGAAGTAAGTTAGTAAGTCTCAGTCATGCCCAAGGGGATGGAATTACCAAGGACTTGAGTACCAAGAGTACCAAGGATCATTGAGGGCCATCTTAGAGATTGGCAATCACATGATTCTAACAGCTCAAATAGAAATAAGGAAATCAATTATAAAAGGAAATAAAAACATAAAAGACTTCCATATTTGTTAACATATGTAGCATTTGCTAATTTCTACTTACAAAGTAGTAAATTTTATTATTAAAACTGTGTATGTAAATATCAGTTGACATTCAGTAGATGTGGTGTTTGCTGATTTCCTTACATAATTTGATACCAGTGGTAAATATTATAATAAACTTTTATATTTATGTGTTTGTATATCTCAGGAGACTGATATTTTCTTTCCTTAAGATTGTGTAATTGGAAGTATAGATTTTGTCACTGCCACTGCCAAGTTGTGTTTAATGTAGCACCCAGAGCAGATGGATGCTTGAATTAATGTCAACAGTTGGTCTTGGCCCACAGGGAGCAGAGCTGTGGTAATGGAGTGTCAGTATGGGCCGAGGAGGAAAGGTTTCCAGTTAAAAAAAATTGGGGAGCTGGAAAATAGGTCTTGTCAGCTCTACAAAGCCACTTGTCCAGCCCGGTAAGCTTCATTTTCTTTTATTTTTTATTAAGTGCGTATGTTTGAATAGTTAATATGCACACGTGCATGTTTTTATTATGTTTAAGCTGTGCCGGAAACTATACAGTGAAAGCTCTGTCTCCTCTTACCCTGCATGTCCCACTTTAAGGCAACAACTCTTACCAGTTTCTTGAGTAACTTTTCAAAGATACTCTGTATGTATGCCTATAGGTATATATCCCACTTTACCCTCATAAATGTTGAAGATCTCAATAATGATTACTGATATTTTCTTTCCTTAAGTTTGTGCAGTAGCATACCTTCTTTTCTTCTATGAATTCACATGGATATATTTCCATTCTGAATGCCTAATGTGATTATTTTCTCAAAGCTATTCTGTTTCATATTAGTGTGTTTGTACAGACATATACTACTATATACACTTAAACAATTGTTTTAAATTTAGGTATAGTTGATTTATAATCTGTTGGTTTCTGCTGTACAGTGGAGTGATTCAGTTATACATATAATTACTCATTTTCATTTTCTTTTCCACTATAGTTTATCACAGGCTATTTATAGTTCCCTCACTATATCGTAGGACCTTGGTGTTTTACACTATGGTTTTTTTATTCATTCCCATTATGTCTCAAGGCTGGCTCCATGTCTCTGTATAAATGAGCTGATTCCTTCTTTTTATTGATTGATCAATTGATGTTAAAAATTGAAATATAATTGCCATATAACGTTATATTAGTTTCATGGTTCCTTTTTAATAGCCATATAATATTCCACTTGTAGATGAATTATCATTTACTTAATTAGCCCTCTGACAGTGAACTGTAGGCAGTTAATTAGTATTCTTAATTATTATTTATGAAGCTGCAGCTAATAATATTGGAACTATTTCTATACATATATCAATGGAATAAATTCCTTGAAATTATATTGTGAGGGTAAGTATTGTGTTCTTTTTAAATGTTGGCAGTTATTGGAGAGTTGGAGAGTTGCTTGGTAGTGATTTTACCAATTATATTCACCGCAGCAATATTTAAGACTAACATAGTCAGTTTTAGGTAGAATAGGACTACTGAGTAGTCCTTGCATTGACTGAGAATGAAAAATGTACACCAATGAAAGATTTTTATAATGTCTTTCAGTAATAATATTCTTTTTCACACATTTATAAAAGTGTTTTAAGAAAACATAAGAAAAAATTTAAAAATAACATGTAAATGTTAAATTTAGTTGAGCTTTGAAATGCTTATTTTAGCAATACATTTCATATCACAATCTCAGCATTCTCAAATAGTTTTTAAAGCCAGTTAAGCTTTAACCTGATAATGTTAACTTTAGACAATGTTAAAACCTGACCGTTAAACATGACCATTAAACAATCGCTTTGAAGTATAAGCAGTTTAGAACTTTAGACTGAACTTGGGAGAAAGTCACTACATGTGAAGAAATAATTTTATTCTCAATCATTCTAAAAGTACTTTTTGAGTATCTTCTGTGTACCAAAGAGAAGTAAGAGACGGAGCCAAGCAGAAACAACACCCAGTTGTGGATGTGACTGGTGATGGAAGTGAAGTCTGATGCTGTAAAGAGCCGTATTGTGTGGGAACCTGGAATGTTAGGTTCATCAGTTCAGTTCAGTCGCTCAGTCGTGTCTGATTTTTTGCCATCCCATGGACTGCAGCACTCCAGGCCTTCCTGTCATCACAAACTCGCAGAGTTTGCTCAAACTCATGTCCATTGAGTTGGTGATGCCATCCAACCATCTCATTCTCTGTTGTCCCCTTCTCCTCCCACCTTCAGTCTTTCCCAGAATCAGCGTTTTTCAAATGAGTCAGTTCTTTGCATCAGGTGGCCAAAATATTGGAGTTTCAGCTTCAGCATCAGTCCTTCCAATCTAATATTCAGAACTGACTTCCTTTAGGATGGACTAGTTGGATCTCCTTGCAGTCCAGGTGACCCTGAACAGTATTGTCAAACACCACCATTCAAAAGCATCAATTCTTTGGCACTCAGCTTTCTTTATAGCTCAACTGTCACATCCATACATGATTACTGGAAAAACCATAGCTTTGACTAGATGGACCTTTGTTGGCAAGTAATGTCTCTGCTTTTTAATATGCTGTCTAGGTTGGTCATAACTTTCCTTCCAAGGATCAAATGTCTTTTAATTTCATGGCTGCAGTCACCATCTGCAGTGATTTTGGAGTCCAAAAAAAATAAAAGTCTCTCACTGTTTCCACTGTTTCCCTGTCTATCTGCTGTGAAGTGCTAGGACCAGATACCATGATCTTGGTTTTCTAAATGTTGAGTTTTAAGCCAACTTTTTC